TTGCTGAAAATCCACACTATTTGGCGTATATTGACCTCAAAGGCGAGCCAAACTGGAGGAATCATATAAACTTCAAAATTCATGTGCAAGTAAGTTAAATCTTATTTTTGAGAGAAAAGTTTTTACGCTACTACTTTTTTACCCTTTGGAACTCAAAGGAACAATTTGAAAAGAGGATGGGAAAAATTTAAGAAAGCAAGAAAAAGTTTGATAAAAATAACGAGTGATGCTAGTCCTGAGAAAAAAGCATTAGCTAATGCTGTTTTAGGGAAGGATGGGAGGAGTTTATGACCGTTTCATGTTGTACTTGCTAGTTACACTTTTCTAAAAGTTTAGTCTTAAAGTTGCTTCAATCCCCGGCTACCTTACAAATTTTATACATTCAAGGATCTAAATGCTACTTCCAGACTAGATGTACTTCTGGGTTGAAGGAATATAGTACTTTTCCCTGAAGGTTCCCCTAAGAAAGTTTCTTAGAAACTTCCTTAGGGAAATCTCCGGGGAAAGTACTACATTTAAAAAAATATCTTACTCCACTTTTCAAAACATTTATTTACAAGCGATCCTCTAGAGCGCAATATTCCATTTTTTTCCTAAAGAAATTCATGTGGGAGGTATCTTATGTCAATCGCTTTTCTTTGGCATCAATTCCTCGGGGAACTCTTACCCCAGTACATCTTAGCGTTTGCAATTTTTGCTTCAAGAGTTGCTACAGCAGTCTAGCCAAAATAAATTACTAGAACTTGAGCGTATAACAATTAATAGCATTTATCTGTGTTTTTTTCACATTTACCCATCAATCACTCCTTCAACTTCTTGACCCATGAAGAATGGATTTCAAAATCATTCAACTTTAGAGATTTGTGACAGCCTTGTCAGAATCAATGCGACGACTGCGAGACCCAGCCACATCGTACGATGTTCTTCGTGATTTTGGCGCATCATATGCAACTTACCCAAAGCGAGTTTCTGCAGTTTACTTCGAACGATTAGCGAACGCTCTAAATCAAACCGCTACCCAGGTTCAAGAGCATGATCATCTTAGCGTGGAGGTATGTTTTCTAGAAATAAGTTAGTTGTTCGTTATTTCTACATTACTGGAGGGTGCATTACTTACTACAGAAATACTTCCATAATTTATACGTCGATATAAACATTATTTCAAAATCCTCTGTATGTTAGTAATAACGTGGCATGGTATAATGACATTTAATTCAAACCATCTTCCAAAATGCGCAGTCTTGGACTATCATTATTGACCAATAACACAGCCATAAAGAAAATTAATTTTAGAAAATTAATTATTTCAGAAAGCACCAAGTCGAGAGGATGATTCAAATTCCAGTGAAGGAGACAAATCTTTAAAGTCACTCCCAGAGGTGGAAAAGCTCAGCGTGCTGGATGAGACTGCGGTATGTTCAATTTCACTATAAGGTGGATAGAACCAGAAAACAGTCATATACTTTTGAAATTGTTAATTTTTCTTTGTTTTCCTTATGTCGATGTGGGGAAATTATTGACAAGGGTAACATGTTTGTAGATGATTATTG